TTTTCAATATATTTTATTCATACTTTGATAGCTAGTTCAATTCCTATGAGCCAGATGACTCCTGACTTAGTCTAATTATATAGGTCTCTGGGCTTCCATATCTTATCCTTCTTTACCAAATATGCAAATGATTATGCGGTCTTGATTTATCCCTTATGATTATATATATATATATATATATATATATATACTATATGTATTACACGAAATAATGTTATCTTAAAGCGACCTACGATTTTACTATCGCTATTATTTGAAAACTTGTAATGAATGGTCTGGCTGCACGGTCTCATAAAAAATCTGGGAATTCCCACTTTTTCACTACTATTATTAATCAGTGTACCCCTTAAAACACCTATTTTGTTCTCTTCAAATTAATACTAAATTTATTTTTCGTATGTAAGTATAGTTTCGAGACTACATTTCATATTACTGATACTAAAGTTGTTTTATTTATGTAAGGCAGTTCAATATATATACTTAATTTACTGTTTCCAGCGAAATGATTTCTACTTTTTACTTTACCTTTCTTTTCTCTCTTTGTTTACCAATGATCTTGAATCTGATTTATTTAACTTTCTCCTTGTGATCTAGGCTGTCAAACCAATTACTTGCCCTATCAGTCTTTTGTCTAACTATCAATCGAGGGAACCTGGCATCAATCTTCATTCTATTCAGCGCTCAGTCGTGTGGGAATGCCTCTGCCCCGTAACCTGTCGTCCGGACGACTCTGCAACTGCTTCGTCTTCATTTGGCAGCTCCACGACCCCAAAACTTGCCTTACTTCATAGCTATAACCACTTAAAACCCAAATCTTTCTTTCGTCGCCAAATGCTTTTAGACGAGCAGTCTACCAACACCAAATTGACCGGCCTCGGAATCAATTCTCAATTAGATCATATTTTTGATGCTTCCAGGTCCGAGTTCACAGCCGACAAGGGGCGCAAGGATGGTCAATCTTCCACCAATAGTCTGTCATCTTCCGAGCTTCCTCATTCAGACGACCAAATTGATCTTGGAGTCACCATCGGTTCCCGGTCAGAATCAATATCAGATTCAGATCTTAGCTTAGGGCCCCGATCTCGTCTCCCTTCCTTTCGATATTTAGCCTCATCCCTTCCAACAAATTTGTCAGCCTGTTCTTCAGTAGATGTGACTGGATCTAAAACTCATTTATCTCCTGAACCTCAACTCGCAAGACATTCTCCGAGCCCATTGCGTGGGTCGCCACGTCATTTATCCAACATTTATCCATCAACGCGCTTCTCTTTTTCCACTTCCCATTCGTCTTATTCCTCACGTTCCTCACCCTCTCATTCTCAATCTTCTTTATCTTTGTCTTCTGCTACTACTTTGGAAACAGATGAGCTTGGGCCTGACTATATTAGAAATTCTTCTTTTAAGCATTCCAAGCACAATTCATCTTCTTCTTGTTCAGATGACCTGGACCTGACTACATGGCTTCAGAAGCGACAAGCCAAGGCTAAAATTCGTCGGGCATTTCGAGTACCTGCAACAGAGGCTCCTATCTGTGCCTCCACCACTCCCAGGCGACTCAGACGTCCTGGCCGATCCACTGGTGTTTGTAATAGTCGAAAACCTAATCAACCTATTCCGTTAGGCCGATTCTCTGTCGGAACTCATGGTTCCTTTACTACTGGTAGGGCAACATTTCACTCACTCAGACATCGGACTCGTTCAACGACTCATTGGTCTGGCCAAGGTTCTCGTGCAAGTCTAGTTAAAGGCCCAATTCCTAGTGTCTCTGTTTCTGAGGTTGCCAACAACGATTGCCGATTTAACATGCCTGAAGTGCAGCAAAATCACACTCACTATCCACCAGAAACCTCTTCATTTGGCCCTGCAGATTCCTCAGATTTCCGATTCAAACTGCAATCATCAAGACGCAGCAAGCGGCGCAGAGGGCTGGCTCGTCGCGCCCAGGGTTATCTGCCCTCTAGGCATACGTCCCGGGCTCTAGTTAATACTTTAAACGAAACATCCGGGACTTGCAGCTTTCTTACCACTCTTTCTCCAGTGAATGCTGATTCTAATATAACTCTTTTCCCCGGAACTAGGAATAAATCATCCTGCTCGAAAGGTCGTGGATCTTCACGGAAATCTTATGACCATGATCATCTATCATCAACTCGACGTCTCGTCGGGAGAAGGCGTTCTATTTCTTCTCCACCTCCTACCCCTACTCCACAGCCTTCCTCGCTGGTATCTGAGGCTTGCGGGAAGCATAAATTTGGAAGCAGGAGCAGCCGTTTTGATAGAGGTTGGAGGTGAGCTGATTTGACCGGACTATATTGGGGGGCTTATCATCCTTATTATTATCAAATAACCATTCACAAAATGACTTGGCGGAAGGCTATGCGAAATTCAATGGAAACGTAGAGTCTACTTATATCACTGTGGGAAATTCTACTATCAGCCTTATAATCACCTTAAACGAAATATGGTGAATGCAGCTCAACACTTTCTTCAGTTATCATTTAACTCTACAATGGCAAGCTGCAGAGCTTAGGTTGCTAAGCAGCCTAATTCGAATTATCAACTAGATTGGCAGTTGAGAATATCTCATTCTATGTTAAAATGCTTCAAACTAACACCTATTCCATGCAAACCTTAATCACCCTAGGCCGCATAAGACAATATGGGGTTAATAGTTGAATTTTCCCTTAACCAAATAAAGTAGCCAGCTCATTGCCACTGAGATTCACATAGCCTAGCCTTTTTAAGGAGTTTCTTATCCCTAGTCGACTGCAAGTTCGGCTTCGCTTGTGCCCTGTCAGCACCTCTATCGGGATTCGTAGCCGGTTCGTGCTCGTGGCAACCAGTCAACACATACATCAATGAGTGCGACTGAGTCAAAAGGCAAATCGGGTCTGTCAACCCTCATTTATAATCTTGAAACCAAGCAAGTCACGTATTCCTTACCTTCGGTTTTACTTGTGTATTAGTCTAGTTGATAAAGCATGTCGTTTGTAGTATGGTGCTTTTTCTATTCATTGCATCGATACCCGCGCCTTGCAACTCAATGGGGCTATGGTCACTTGAGTTGTACTGGCCCTCCTTAGGCTCATCAGTTCCATATAAGAAATTTGAATTTCATGGGGCTTCTTGGTTTGTCGTGATGTTTGAAGTCGTTTCGTGGCTATATACCAAAACTATAGGTAAATTTAGCATTATGCTTTGTTTTTCTTTGATTAATATTTGGTAGTTTATAATAATATTATACTTTTAAAATAGTGGTATGATTGAAGTTTTGAACAGATACTATCTTCAAAGCCGTTGTTTTATCAAAAAATTTCACACTGTACCATGACAAATATAGCCTTGCATAATTTTTAATCGTATTCATGAGTATTGCCGATAGTGGGCATTAATTTTAATTAGTGAAGAGCTGCATTATTATGTATAGAAGCACAGAAATCCATAATGCAAACTTACATCTTGTCGTTAGGTTTTTTGAAAGGAATCATAGTATGGTCGTTTCACATTTAAATATTTTCACCTATAGTAAGTTTATCAAACCATATTGAATGTATTTCAGCATATTAACTGGTAACACATAAAGCAAAAGAACTTGCTTTGTGAGGGCTGGATTTTGCAATATTGGCAAGGCATAACTGAGTTCTTGAATATTTTTTAAATAAAATTAATGATGGACACTACTCATTTTCTAGATGCTCTTATTTATTTTGAATATAGATTGGGCTAGCAGGCCCCGTTCTCTTTATTAAGCTTACTTTTATCTCGAGTGAAAGTCTTTAGTGAAGAGATTCGAAGGTCGATCCCATCAAAAGACGACGACAGATTCATCTTGATCAGTTTTCGATTGGCTTTACTGCAATATTCTCCTTGACGCTGTTTCCAAGGTAATCTTCGATTCCGATGAGAAGGTGCTAAGCTTTTATCCGTCGTATGACGAACATCATCAGAGCAGGGTATCATCCTTACAACCATATTCAAGCTAACGAATCGCGAAAATCAAGAAATATATATCCCGGCAAGTCAAAATTATTCGATTTTTAAATGTGTACTCCACATAATGTAGTACCTAGATGTTGTTTTCATGGTAGACGCCCAGGTTTACCTATTTCTACTTATAGAAAACTGGAGCAGGTGTCAAGTTGTTTGGTTAAGACTAGACTAAAAGGAAGTATAGACTAATTACATGACCTGATTACAATCAAAAAAGGACTAGACAATCGCTTTCTCTGCTGTTTTCTCAAGAAGACTTTCTCAAATTACGGGCTGGCTGAGAAGATGGATACGATTCACAGATATCGATATTATAAAAAATTAAGGGATTTAGACATTAAAGTCAACTCAAGGAATAGTCGAAACAATAAGGATGTAGTTAAACTTAGTGCTATTTGTTCTGGCAAAAATGAACTAATTAATTTATCCAATATACCTATAGAGAAGCCTAAACTTTGCCTTTGCAAATGAACAAAATCATTCTATGGAGATACTAATTGAATTAATTAATTTAATAGGCAACCTGCCAGAAGAGACTAAGAATAGTATAGAAAGAGAAGTGATTCCTCATTTTGACAAGATAATTGTTCCAAAGTAATCTTATGACTTGAATAAGATTTCTAGATATTTGCACCAAAATGATCTGTTTGTTTTGAAGACAGATAAAGGTGGTACACTGGCCATAATGGATAGGCTAAGTTATATAGAAAAAATGATGGCTCATTTAAATGACTCAGAAACATACAGACTTTTAGTAAGGATCCCACAGATATTCTTAAGGCCAGACTTAGGGAATCGTTTAATGTTTGTGTAAGCACCCAGCAATTATTGGGGAAGCAAATCTGAGCAAAAGCTCATTATTAAGGCTTCTTAATCTATCCATGAGTAGCACATACTTTACCTTTAATGATAAGGCTTATGAATAGGTGCAAGGCTTAGCAGTAAGATGTTGCTTGGTTCACATTTTAGCAAATATTTACATGTCTATAGTGGAGAAAAACTTCATGGAAGAGGTAACCTAAACTTTTGGTTAGATATATGGATGACTCCTTTGTCATATGGCAGCATGGTAAGGATATTTCATATATATTTTGTTCTTACTTAACCAGATTGATTGCAATGTTAAGTTGACAATGGAGACAGAAGGACAATTATTCGCCTTTTAATATGTTTTAGTGATCAGAGCATGTGAGAAGTTAAACAGGGATGTATATAGAAATATGAGCTGTATTCACCCTATTTCGTTTAAGGTGATGAAGGATTGGTAGTAGGATTTTTCCCGCAATGATATGAGTAGAGCTTAAGTTTCCATTGAATTTAACGTAGCCTTGCTTTTCCAAAAAGTTGTTATCCAGGGAAAGCAAGGCTATGTTAAATTCAATGGAAACAGCTCTACTCATAACATAGTGTGAAAATTCTACTACTAGTCTTTCATTTCTTCATTGCCTTAAACGAAGTAGGGTAAATACATCTCATATTACTGATTTAATGGTAGTCTCGAAACTCTATTTACCTACGAAAAATATGTATATAGAAAGCCAACATATGCTGGCTTTATCCTTAATTTTTAATCCAACCGTAATTATAAAACAAAGGTTGGACGTTTAAAAAACTATGATTATCCGGAGCATAAGACTAGTCGATAGAGATCATTGTGATAATGAACTGGATAGGCTCAAACTAATATTTCTTGAAACTAATTATGATCTAGGTTTGATTTAAAATGACATTGGATTAATAAAGAATACCATTTTGAATGGTGTATATGTAAGTAGATATATAGGAGACGTTTTCCTATGTTTTGTCTTTGCCTTCATGCATTCCCTCTAAAAGGATAGACGAATTAATAGGGAAGTAAGGAGTAAAAACGGTTTTCATGTGAATTACAACACTTTCTTCATTTATTAACAGTTTTAGGGCAAAAGTTGATCTATAATCTAGATCGGGTTGCTACCAAATAATGTATTTATGTGGTCGCTTTTGTGTTGGAGGGACTTGTCGTCCTATTTGACTTAGGGTTGCAAAGGCTGTTAGGCTCAGAGATCGGAGCTGGCTTTTCACAAGGCAGAAACTGGACACGAGATTGTGTGGTCTGAAATTTCTCGTTTTCATGATTATAGTATGTCTGTGGCCAAACATAAAACTAGAGAAGCCATTGAGATAAACCGACTGGAGAATATATTGAATGCTAGGAATACTAGCAGGAAGTTAAGTAAAAACTACTTGTGTTTAGAAGTTGTTTGACCTTGTATTCGCAACTTTGTCATATTTGCAGGACAAAATTATAAGTGATAGCATAACCGTTTCGGCAGAAAGTTGGTAAAGGGATTGGCTTCATTTGTCTTTTTGATGCGTTGTAGCTTGGTTTGCTGAGAATGGTAAGACTCACTGATGATGTCTACTACGATGTCGGCGAAACGTCTAGAAATGTACCAAGTCCATTGTCCGACTCTGGAAATTATCATGCATACTATGGACTCAGGACAAGGTGTGTTCCTCTAGGTCGTCCTGCTAATATGACGAAATTGCGAAACCAAGGTCAAACAACTTCTATAAAGGGAT